CCCGCACCTCGCTCAGCCAGTGAGCGGCCGGTCTGTATGTGGGATCTGAACCCTCGGCGGGAGCACCGCCGCGCTTCCCAAGCAGCGCACCGTAGCAGTGCGCCACCGGGCCGGCCCCCATGCATGTTTTTAGAAGCTATTTTTGACGTGAATATTTGCAGCATCATTCAAAAATCTAAGTGTGCTAAGGAGTGTAGATTATGTTTTTTTCCAGCAAAGACCCTCAAACAGTGAATAATCAACTTAAGAAATTCAATACTCTAAGATATTATAGACTAAAATATAAATAAAGATGAAAGTTATTCAACTACAGATAGAACTACCATATGATCCAGCAATCCCACTACTGGGTATACCCAGAGGAATGGAAATCATCATGTCAAAGGGATACCTACACTCATGTTTATTGCAGCTGTATTTACAGTAGCCAAAATATGGAATCAACCTAAGTGTCCATTGACAGAAGTCTGGATAAAGAAAATGTGGTGTATGTACACAATGGAATATTACTCAGCCATAAAAAGGAATGAAATTCTGTCATTTACAGCAACATGGATGAGTCTGGAGAAAATTATGTTAAGTGAAGTAAGCCAGACAAAGGAGCAGAAATACCTCATGTTCTCACTCATAATTGGCTGCTAGGAAGGAAGGAGGGAAGAAGGAAGGAATGAAGGAAAGAAAGAAAAGACCACAACAATACATTGAACTTTCAGAAAGAGAGAACAAACCTAAGGATGCTAGAGATGGGGGGTGGGAGGGGGTTTGGGAAGTGACAGGTCGGGCAAGGGCATAAAGAAATCCCACAATTTGTAAAAATGAATATGCTAATAACATAAAAATTTTAAAAACCCAAACAAACAAAAAAAGATGAAAGTTATTGAATAAATTGTTCATAATTACTTTTGAAAATACAGCCTTGAGTGTGTATAATGTGAAATGTAGACTTTTAGTCTGGATGGGTCAATGGATATGACCTAATCCGTGTACATCTTTATTTTTCTACTATCAGCACGAAGCAGAGAAGTGTCTCTAGACTGACATCTCAGTGCATTTTGCAGTGTCAGCTGGGTATTCTGAAGTCTTTTCACTAATCTGAGTGTTTGTTATCCAGTTGCACAATTGCTGCTTCTTTTAAAAACAGAGAAGCAGCCCATTTCATTAGCAGCACTCTGTAGCAAAGCAGAGGTGCTCGGGAGGGTCGGCGAAGCAATGGAACTGTTCCTTCTGTCTCCGGCTCCTCCTGTCCTCGGCCCTCGGAGTGAGTTTAACTTCTGCATCAAAGCACCTCCTGTTCAGAGGCTGTTATTATGTGAGCCTTGCTAAATACAGAAGTTGTTTGTTCTGAATGACAGAAATAAGTATTGACCAGTTTATCCCCACATGCTTCAGATTCTCGGTGGGGATCGTAATGTGTTCCTTCCACATTCCGCTGCGGGGCTTCTCTCCCCCCCAACAAAGCAAGTATTATGTGCACGTACAGCCGTGGGACCATATACTTAACTGTATGGAAATACAACTTTGGCTCTGCTCTTGAGTTTTACCTTTCCTAGACCTATAAACAGTAACACGTTGTGGCTGATGGGAAGCACTCAAAAGTCAAAGCTTCTGCAGTGTCCCTCTGTGCTTACAGTAATATTTTCCCTGCTGGCTATTTAAAACAGCATCTTTTAGATTCTCTTTTCTGAGTTGCCCACCCCTTCCCACCAAACCCTCAAGAATCTAAAAATCCATAATACTTGAGTTCTGGTCAGTTTTTCCAGTGATTCAAAACCAAATGTAAAAGCCTTGCATTGTGGGATCCATGGAGGAGGGAGAAGCTGTGCAGAGTTCTTTTCCTGTTTGGCTTTGCCCTTTCTTGTCCTATTCAGAGAGGTCATTTGTAGAGTTGAAATTTCTGCTTGACAGCCTTAAATGCATGACACCGGTTTCCTGCTGTTGCATATACTGCTGGGGTGGCCCTGGTTTCAGGGCTCCAGGGACCCTGGGGTAGGCTCACAAAATCCCTGTTGTTCTATTCCATCTTACTTTAGAGACCTAAAGATATTCTATTCTGCGGGCCATCAGCAGGAGAATTTATCTTGACTTCGGGTCATTCACTGTTGAGCTCTGGAGTTGGTTCTCATTATGTTAGACCAACATAATTTGTTGACTGTTTGCTCATCCAGCATGACCCGAATCTTTTTGCCCTAAATGCTTTGGATCTCATCAGGCACCACAAATGATTCTTACTTTTTTACAGGACAAATGAGAATTCGTTTTCCAAACTGTGAGAAGCACCTAGTTTTGTGACATGTTTTCTGCTTCTCTTCTATTCTGTACTGCCATTTTGTAAGAAAGTCTATCAGTTCACTTAAGACTATAGACCCCAATTCTCAAAGTTAACAGTGGAAGGACAGTCCCCAATTGAGGAAATGTAACTGGACCTCACAGCTCCAACTCTGAGAAGATCTAGAACAACACTGGTCAATAGAACAATCTGTGATGGTGGGAATGTTTTATATTTGCACAGTAGCTACTATCTGCAGATGGCTCGTGAGTACAACTAAGGAACTGAATTTGTCATTTTATTAATTTAAATTAAAATATCCACTGTATTAGCGCAGATCTAGAGCCCACGGGGTTTACTAGATCCAGAGGTGGACAAGTGTAGACAGACCAGTAAACGCCTCTCTCCCTGGCCCCCATGTTCTTTAAATAGGGCTGTGCCCAAGTTCATGAAAAGGATCAAGGTTCCAGACTACAAGGACCGGAATGTGTTCGGGGTCCCTCTGACGGTCAATGTGCAGCGCACAGGACAGCCCCTGCCCCAGAGCATTCAGCAGGCCATGCGCTACCTCCGCAACCATTGTTTAGATCAGGTGAGAGCTGCTGCCTGCGGTCACGCTTTGTCACTGGAGCTCAGCTGCATGCTTCTTTCTCTGGTTTTGTGGTGAAGATGCTGCTTCCATCCCAACCCTTAATGATTTTCTTCCCACAGGTTGGGCTCTTCAGAAAATCAGGTGTCAAATCCCGGATTCAGGCTCTGCGCCAGATGAATGAAAGTGCCATCGACTGTGTCAGCTATGAAGGACAGTCTGCCTATGACGTGGCAGACATGTTGAAGCAGTATTTTCGAGATCTTCCTGAGCCACTCATGACGAACAAACTCTCAGAAACCTTTCTGCAGATCTACCAGTGTAAGTCTTTGATTGCTGGCACTGGGGAAAAGTGGGACCAACTGAAGCTTGTAGCTTCCTTTGATGTCATGCTTTTGACGAGAGGACCTGCATGGGGACCTCTGGGATGTGGATTTCTTCCTTCCTGCTTGTTTGGGGAACAGGTTTCTGTCTGTATACTTACTGAATAATGTGAAGATAAATTTCCTTTATTATCAGTCTCTAACTGCTGAAGTATTCGTATGTTTTTACATTCCGATCCAGCTTGTTCTTTCATTTGTTTCTAGAACAGTGTTATCTAAGATGCTTAGAAAAAGAGCAGGTACCAAAATCTCTCCCTCCGCCTTGACTACAGAAATCTCAGTTGCTTCACATCTCTCTAGCAGGGCTGTTGTTTTTAAAATTTCACAGGGGTCTGTGTGTTTTATCTTGCTGTAAAATGAATAAATAATCTTTTTCTGTTATTCATCTCAGCCTCTGCCAGAAATACTTGGGAAAACAATACCCATGCCCTTCTCACTTTTAAGTAAAGCTTAAAGCAAACAGTTGTCTAAATTAATGATCAAGATCAGGATTATAGCTTTTACAGCCCTGTGTTTTTCTTGGCTCAGTGTGGTGGTACAGCAACGTAATTTAAAAGCAGCTTCTTTTAGTGCTCAAATTGTCTTTAGGACGGGGGTATTGGACTTTATTTTATGAGGAATGGAGCTGGTCTGGATTATTTCATTATTTGTTTCATCCTTTCATATTTTATGAAAACACAGGTCACATTTTCCCCACCAAGGTATTTGTTATGTATTGTAACCATGGAGCTGTTTAATCAGTTTGTCCTATGGAGCTGCGTTTGAGTGACTTGATTTTTCCACCACGTGCTTTTTAAAAGATTTGCCTAGTAGAGGGGACCGGTGCATTTTTATCATAGCCTCTTGGTGTGCTTTTTAAAACTTAAGAAATGACTAGTGAAATGTATCTATTGTTTAAATTGACTGACTGTTTTAGCAACTTAGTTTTCCCATTTCGAAAATAAGCAAATAGGTTATAATTATGTAAGTCCCCAGATTCACTAAACATTTTGTAGCCAAGGCTAAGAGATCTCAGATCTTATCCTCTCTTGCATTTCTCAGATGAGATTTTTCATTGAAACGGAAGATGAGTTTAAGCGTATAATGATTTCAATAATTGAGATAGGTAAATTATGGATTTTTAAAAAACTACTTTGAAAATAAAAAACTTTTTGTTCTTTAAACAGAAAGAACAGTCATCTTCTGGAGCTGAACTCTGAAGTAGATTTAGGAGTTTATTGGTGTAGTGGGTGTTTCAAATGTTAAACTCCACGAGGCAGGAAATGCTTGAGGGCAGTGACGCTGGTGGCAGTCCATAATTTCTTCTGTATTAGCCTCTGGTACCTTTCTGCAAGTGCTTGTTCAGTGCTGGGCTGAGGTATTTGATGCTGTTTGCTTTGGGACGTTTCCTTGCAATGTCTGTGGAAAATCACCGAGCTGATGGGGAAATGCTGGTGTGTTGTGCAGATGTACCCAAGGACCAGCGCCTCCAGGCCATCAAGGCCGCCGTTATGCTCCTGCCTGATGAGAACCGCGAGGTCCTACAGACTCTTCTTTATTTCTTGAGCGATGTCACAGCAGCTGTAAAAGAAAACCAGATGACTCCCACCAACCTGGCCGTGTGCTTAGCACCTTCCCTCTTCCACCTCAACACCCTGAAGAGAGAGAATTCTTCTCCAAGGTAGGTCGGGTGCCAGGTGCACGCAGTGCCTGTTCTTCAGGCTGAGGCAGGCTGCTTTTCCTGCCAGGGCTGTCACTGTGCTTTTGTGGGATTCTTACCTGCACCAAGAAAAATGAGGAAGACCACCTGCATGCAGCCCTCGCACCTCCCCCATGCTTCTGCCCGCTTTCTTCTCAGCCCTGGGGATGGGGTTTTCTAGAACGTCTGGTTACACCCAGGTTTTGAGAGAGAGAGAGCTTTGGGTTTGTCTTTGCCTTGGCCAGTGTCTACTCTGATGCTCCCGGGTGCCCTCCCAAGGCATGTGTGGCAGTGTCATCACTCTCTGCCAGCAGAGAGTCGTGCAGACTCACTGGCCTGAAAACTGGGTGGGGAGTAAGACCCCTGCTGCCTCGGCCTCTGCATGGTCAGCAAAGCAAACTGCTGGCCTGTGCCCCAAGTTGAAAGGAAAGAGCCACGTCTGAAAGAACTAAGGGTAACGTTGCATCTGGACATTTCTTCCATTCAGGATCTGGCCTAAGCCAATTGTTTGCAAGATTTCTGCCTAGAACATGTGTATACAAGATGGGAGTGGCTGTGCTTTTCCATTTATTACTTCATTTAACCTTCATCACAGTCACAGGAAGTGAAATTGGGAGCAGCTATTTTTCATAGGAGGAAAGTGAGGCTTAGGGGCAGGTTAGTTCAGTAACTTGCCCATGTCTGACAGGAAAGACTGGCAGAGGCAGCTTGAGCTTTTTACTTACATGTGTATTTCACATACAGACCTTCTTTTGGAGTACAGAAGAAAGTCGTCACTAAGGGGACTTAACCCCACATCCTAAATCCATCCAGCTGATCCTTTTCCTTAGCTCTCAAGGAACTTAGCTAAAATATTTCTTAAAGTATTTCTGAGCTAGCAGCATGGGGCCTGGTTGAGCTAGTTGAAGTGAGCTTTGCTTCTGAAAGCCCTGCAATGCTTAAATATCCTTTTGACTAGTTCTTAAAGTTTCCTGGGCATTCCAACTTTAATGGAAAAGAGAACTAGAGATGAATAGAAGAGAGAGATCAGATAAGATTAAGACAGAACTTCTAGGACACAATAGATTTATCTCTCACCTGGGAGTTGGGGAAGACCCTGTTTATTTAAACAGGTAAGAATAGTGACACCGTTTTCCCCCACTTCCAGCAACTTCCACCTTCCACCCTTCAGAAGCAGCCCTTTGTCCTCTCCACCACACACACGAGGGTACCTCAAAAAGTTCATGGAAAAATGGGATTAAAAGATAGAATGGATCTTTCCACGAACTTTTTGAAGATCCTTCCTACATAGACCTTACAAGTTGGCCTATTTAAAACAGGAACCTATTTAACAAAATAGCTTCCAATAGCCTGGATTTCATTAAAAACAAGTCTTTTTAATGTTTTTTTGTGTGTTGTTCATAAAGCTCTGAGAATCTCTGGTAGCCAAAGTGAAAGCTCTCTTGAACTACTTAATAACAAATAGGCTCCAGCAAAATGGTTTATTTCTCTCCTTTGGGTTTTCTTGAATAATACATTGATTCAAAATATATAATTATTTTGGGGCCGGCCCGTGGCTCACTTGGGAGAGTGTGGTGTTGATAACACTAAGGCCACAGGTTCGGATCCCTGTACAGGGATGGCCGGTTGGCTCACTTGGGTGAGTGTGGTGCTGACAACACCAAGTCAAGGGTTAAGATCCCCTTACCGGTCAAATTAAAAAAAAAATGTGTGTGTGTGTATATATATATATACATATGTATGCATATATATGTATGTATATACATACACACACACGCACATATATATATGTAATTATTTCAATCATTCCTCTCTCTTATTTCTTCCTAGGGTGATGCAAAGAAAACAAAGTTTGGGCAAACCAGATCAGAAAGATTTGAATGAAAACCTAGCTGCCACTCAAGGGCTGGCCCATATGATTGCTGAGTGCAAGAAGCTTTTCCAGGTAAGGAGTTGGGAAGGCTGGCTCCTTTGTTAAGGATAACATGAATAGGAACAAAATCTTAGGCTTGATACTTGTTCATGTCTTCCCAAACGGTCTTTTCCGCAACTGGAGGTTATATACATAGCCCAAGAATGTCTTATTTACATAAGTTATAATGTATAAGCATAATAGACTGAATAATGCTTAATGAAATTGCCTTCCTCCAATACTCTTTTACTTAAAAAAGATAATTCTGCATGAGAAACCTGCCTTGATCAATGTAAGCTCTCTTCTAATCACCTCCCTCCTGCTCTAACTTTCCGAAGAATACCTTACATGAAAATACATTTTTTCGATGCATGTGTGGAGGTGATGTTTACGTCCTCATGATAACACATGAAGCCAGCAGGGACACCCCACCACCTGCTGGCAGCAGGAACTGGACTGCCAGCCCTGCCACTTCCACTGGCGGGCACCAATTATGAGCACAGGTGTGGCACTGACCTCCTTTTGGGCCCTCGTGTTCCTCACAGGTTCCTGAGGAAATGAGCCGATGTCGTAATTCCTATACCGAGCAAGAGCTGAAGCCCCTCACTCTGGAGGCGTTGGGACGTCTAAGTAATGACGAGTCAGCTGACTACCAGCACTTCCTGCAGGACTGTGTGGACGGCCTGTTTATAGAGGTCAAAGACAAGTTTAAAGGCTGGGTCAGCTACTCCACTTCTGAGCAGGCCGAGCTGTCCTATAAGAAGGTAAACTGTACCCTGTTGTCGGCCAGTTGAGCTCTAGTGGTCAGGACTTGGGTTCATCGGGGTAAGGCTTTTTTGCCAACGGTAATCTCCATGGAGATCTGCAGCCCAGACCCTTCCTTATAAAGCTGGGCAGCCAAGGGTTTCACATTCCCCCAGGAAACCCATGAAATGAGGAATAACACTCATCTAACACTTGGGAGGATTTCAAACTATTTCTAATGAAATCCTTTGGTTCCAAAGAATCACACTAGAGCTCCCTGAAGTGTTTTATTAATGATATTGGGCTTTAGGGCATTTTATGATGACATGCTTAGATTTTCCCAAAGTGTGGTCAGAAGCCCCTTGCACCCGACTCTGTCCTTAGTCACTTCACTCTTGGGCCTTTAATGATCAGGGAGCACTTGGGGGAGAGATGAACCTGTTAAGACTTTTCCCGAGGGCAGAGGCATCTCGAATGACTCAACATGACAGGTCCACAGGAGGTGTTTTTTGATACTATCTCTACCACCCTGAAAATAAATAACTAAAGAGAGCAGGCTGGATGCCTGTGCTGGCTTCAGAGTACAAATGAATGATCTTACTCGATTACATTCACCCTAACATGGGCCCCAGGAAAAACAAATGTTATGATTTTGACCAGTATTGACACTAACTATTTTGTTTGCATTCTCTCCTGCTCTTGAATATTCTCAGGGAGAGCAGTGTATTAAAGTCATAGGTAGTTATTAGCCTCTGGACATGACCCCAAATAACAATTCTAGGTACGTACAGATTGTCTCAGCACCGAAAAATACATCCTCTTTTCAGGTGAGTGAAGGACCCCCTCTGAGGCTCTGGAGGTCAACCATCGAAGTCCCTGCCATGCCTGAGGAAATCTTAAAGCGTCTCCTGAAAGAGCAGCACCTCTGGGATGTAGACCTGTTGGAATCAAAAGTGATTGAAATCCTGGACAGCCAAACTGAGATTTACCAGTATGTCCAGAACAGTATGGCACCTCACCCTGCTCGGGACTACGTTGTTTTGAGGTGAGAATTTGCAAATTGGTGGTTGTGGCAAAGATGATTCAATACTAGAATTGAGCCTATATGTCACTGAATCTTACAGAATGGTAAAATTATTTAAAATAGAACATATGTCTTCAGAAAAGCAGCAAACCCTTCCAAATATAGAAAATATATCCACGTTTATTCCAGCTCATCAGCGGACATGGTTTGATCTCTTTTAGAAGTGAGCTCGGAAAGAGGCACATTCAAGTGAACATGTTCATTGGTAGCAGACTTTTGCCCCTTTTAGGACAGATTTTCTTGTTAGTAACAGCTAGTGAATGAATAAGCCAGGAAATAACATTTTGGTCCCAAGTGAGATGCGGTTAAGACTGATTTATATGGAATTCATAAGTTCTCTGGAGACATTACTAAAAGAGGAATTCCAAAAATCTTTGAGGAAATGTCACATCATTAGTCCAGAACATTTCAAACAGAGCCATGCTCATTTGGACATTTGTGAAATATAAAAATGGTTTTTAGCCACACCTCAAATTGGTGCTCTTTTCAGAGGACTGTTTGAGCACATAGACCCTCTGAAGAAGTGGCTCTGTACAGTTATTCAATCAGGAGTCCTTGTACAGGAGTGTCTCAGTTCATTTTGTGCTGCTATAACAGAATACCACAGACTGGATAACATATAATGAAAAAAAATTTGTTTGGCTCACAGTCCTGGAGGCTGGGAGGTCCAAGATCGAGGCACCTCATCTAGCAAGAACCTTCTTGCTGTGTTGAAGGCACACATGGCAGAAGGCAGAAGGGTACGAGGGCAAGAAAGAGACAGAGAGCAAAGAGCGAAGTCACAGCCTCAAGCCTTCTATAATCAGCATTAATCTATTCATGAGGGTGGAGCCCTCGTGACCTAAACCCCTCCCATTTGATGCATGGAGGATTAAATTTCCAACATGTGCTTTAGGAGGGGGGACACACTCACACCCCACAGGGAGTAATTTAGAGGATGCCATTTACCCAGGCCTGGGCCACACATCACAGCCACCAAGCCGTGTCCCTCAACTCTCTCCTCAAAGAGTGAGGCACCATTTTAAACTTGGCTTCCAATAAATTCCATTTCCTCTCCCCTGGTTTTGACTCCACAGAACATGGAGGACCAACTTACCCAAGGGGGCGTGCGCCCTTCTGCTCACCTCCGTGGACCACGACCGGGCACCGGTGGCAGGTGTGAGGGTGAACGTGCTCTTGTCCAGGTATTTGATCGAACCCTGCGGGCCAGGAAAATCCAAACTCACCTACATGTGCAGAGCTGACTTACGGTATGTTCTGATACTGATTTTTTCACATGGTGAGGGTCATGAAGAAGATTCAGACTTTTTGTCTGATGCCAAGAATTGCTGACATGAGTGCATCACTGTGTTCACTGTGTCTTGGTTACTTCATGAAGAGTGGTGCTGATAAAGTAACACCATCGAGTTTGTTGGTCTTTTGGGTATCACTTCCTAATTCGGATCGTTTAGAAAATGTGGTACTAATGCCATGAATTTAAAGACATGGGAAATGATAGATTTTATGCATTTGAACTAGCAAGCAGATGTTTCTTATTTTGTATTCAAAGATGTTTGAATAATGTGAAGACTACTTATAGTAATTGATTAGGCTCATATCTTGCGGCATAAATGAATATGTGTTCGTATCAGGAAATGAAGAAAATGCATCAGTACAGACCAAAATAATGAACTTCTGCAAACTCTTATTGCAAAATGGCTCTTCATGTTAAATAAATTCTCATTTGAAATCTTGACATCTTAGTAGTTCCTCAAGTGCTTATCTGATGTTTCTGTTACATATGCCAAAGCTATTCCTGAACAGTTTCACTCAGTATCTACACTCAGTATGTTGTTCCTTGAGAAACTGGTTCCAAATGAGTCATAAAGTGCCAAGACATTACCTGGGGATAGTAAGAGTCGTCTTTTCTTATACATTTTGCTCATTGAGAAGTGGAAGTGTGTTTGGAACTCCGTTCAGTTTGTCTGAGTGCTTTCTGACTTAAATAACTCCTCTGCTTTTTCTTTCTTCTGTAGGGGCCACATGCCAGAGTGGTACACAAAGTCTTTTGGACATTTGTGTGCAGCTGAAGTTGTAAAGATCCGAGATTCCTTCAGTAATCAGAACGCTGAAACCAAAGACACCAGGTCTAGGTGATTACTGAAGCAAAGCGACTGTGGTCACCACCTCGGTGTTTGTTTCTAGGACCTTGCCAGTCCTTGGAAGAATGGGTTCTGTGTCTGATTCCAAAACAAAACTACAAGGTGGAGTATAGGAATTGATGATAGCGATTTGATACATTTCTAAAGCTGCTTCCTGTTTGTTTAAGGTCTGTGTTATAGACCTTGACTGGAATATATGACTGTGCAAAAAAAATGTTTGTATTCTTATTCGGGTTGCTTCTGGGAAGCAAAACTTTAAATACATTATGGAAGATAAAGAAGATACTTTATTCTCTTGTGATATTGGTGTATGTGTACCTATGTCATTTTATTTGCAGTGTGTTGAGGGACTGGTGTATCCACTGGAATAGTTGGTACTCGTTTTCTCACTGAGATGAGCAAAGAAAGGTTTGCACAGAGGAGAGTGAATGTGTGTTTGTTGCTGGCTGAATGGCCTCGAGGTGTAAGTTGGAATGCAGTGTCTGGCACACTGAGATGCCTCCAAGAAGGATATTGATGCATCAGGTTCAGTTTAACCTGGAATATCTGACTACCCGTGGATCTATCCAGAAAGGGAACCCAACACCCTTGTCCACTTATTGGATTTTTTTCCAACTTACTAACCATCTTCCTTCTCCACCAGTCTCTTCTTTACTTTACAAGTAATTGTAGTAGATTTACTCCAATACCCGTTTCAAATGCAGTTTGTTTTTAGACCTGACTGCAAATAGTGATGTAGTTTTCACCAGTATAGATTAATTCGGGGCTGAATTCCCTCTCCCCCAGCCTTACAGGCTCCGATGCACAGGTTTGTTTATTCTTTTGTAAGTTGAGATGTGAAAACTGAACACTCTAATATTTACTCCTGACTCAAACATCGAAATATTTTGCCTGCTAGAATTCTTTGAGTTTTCATTTTTATAACCAAAATTCTTTGTGACACTATGTATGGAAGCATAGGAAATTATATATGTCCCAAAGAAATCCCTGGAAATTTAACTCAACCACAAAAGCTTCTTTTTTTTTGGTGGTGGTGGTGGTTGTTAGCATTCCTGAAAGCTGCACATGTTTATTAATTGGGTTTTTGCTTATCAGCAAAAATATTTTCTGGTTTTATGGTTTGTTTTGTTTTTTCCTACATTTCTTTTTCTTTTCCTTTCTAATGCCCTTGAGATATATTTTGGTGGTAATGGAAAATAGTAATCATAGTAAAAGCCAAAAAAAAACCCCAGAGCAGTTGTTCAAAAGGGTGGTCTTTATACAGGTTTTACTGTAATGGTAAAGATTGACTCAAGAGACCGTATTAGTAAATTTATTTTGTATAGATCAAAAGTATGTATGAATGAGAGTTGTAAGAAGGATTTTTATTTTGTTACAATTTAGTTACCATTGTCAGTGTTATTCCAAAGGCTTTTTGAAGAATTCGGGGGTAGGGGGTGTCAGATTAGAGTTTTAAAAATTGAGTATTTTGGATATCAGTGTTCCTCATGAAGATATACTGTATATTCAATTTTGATGGTTTTCAGATTTGTAAGATTGTATGTTGTATATACCATTCTATTAAAAAACATGTATACATGTCCACTGTGCTTTCAAACATAGATAAAGCATGATAAAGATTATTATTTAAAATATACGTGTATTTATACCTCAGATATTCTTTTGGGTTTTGTACCTCAAGGCATTTCCCCCCCCCCCCATTGTAAATACACTTTACGTGAACACAGTATAAGTGAAATAAATAAATAAAATGAAGAGGTTTATAACTTGCTCTATATCTGTACAGAATATATTCAGTAAGTGCACTTTTTTGGGTTTTTTCCCCAAAGGATTTCCCCCCCCCCCCCATTGTAAATACACTTTACGTGAACACAGTATAAGTGAAATAAATAAATAAAATGAAGAGGTTTATAACTTGCTCTATATCTGTACAGAATATATTCAGTAAGTGCACTATTAAATGTTTAAAGTAAGGGAAAAGTCTGGCCTGCTTTCCTTTGTATTGCATCTCACTTCCACTCTTGAAAAAACCACAGATTCCAAAGCATAGCATTCTAGCATCAACTAAAATCAAAGGATAGATTTGCTGAAGGAAATATTGGACTGCTGATCATTCCAAGGCCAAACTGCAACTGAGCCACTCACTCACAAACAGGAAGCCCTGGTGAAGGTTCAGGAAGCGTGGAGACTCCAAACAAAGGTCCAGTTAGGAAACGATGCTGAGAAAGTTACGAGAATAAACAACAGCCACAGAAAGATGCTCATAAGCAAAGTCAAGGTCACTGACAAATTCCACAAGAGGTCTTTTTCCCACTCTTTAGCTTCCTTGTTGAAAGGATTCCTTACATATTTGACAAAAATTTAAAGGATGTGAACATTTTCAAGAACTCTGCTTATAAGTGAAGCAATATTGCCGCAACTTGTTCGTGTGACTCATTGCCTAGATTGTAAGCTCTTTGAGAGCAGGGCTCATCTCCCCCACATCTCTTTAATCCCCTGCAGCAGCTTTCAGTATTTTGTACTTGTAGGCACCTAATAAATTTATTATTTGCTATATTGAATTGATTTGAGTTAGCCTTTGTCATTGGAGAGGGAAGAGAATCTAGGACACTGTATTAGACCATTTCTGTTGCTATCAAAAAAATACCTAGAACTGGGTAATTTAGAAAGAAAACAAAATTTATTGCTTACAGTTTCTGAGGCTGGGAAGTCCAAAGTCCAAGGAACACATCTCTTGGCAGCAATGGTGACCCAGTGGCCTCACATTGCAAGATGGTGGAAGCAGAGAGAGAGAGACACTGCTCTATCTATCTTTTAAAGCTCTCAAAACCACGCCCCGACCATCATTTTTAATCCATTCACTACCACTACAGCATCGTCCCGCAATCTAATCACCTCTGCAAGGCTCCACCTTTCAATTACCATAACAGGATTACCCACCTTCTAACAGTCACAGTGGGGGCCACATTTCTAATACATAAAACTTGGGGACAATTCAAGTTTCAGTGAGTTTTGGGGAGGACATAATTCAATCTGCTACAGACACCATCTGTGTTACACCCTCACTTTGGCTCATCACTGCACACTTTGTGATGGCCAGAGATTGGGAATTGTTAGACCTAGTGGGATCTTAAAGATTCACCTGAAAAAGATGACATAAATTGTTAAACCTAATGAGATCTTAAATAAAACTGATAAAGATGACATAGATACTCTGGAAACTGATCCTAAATTAAAGATTTCTTGGTAATGGAATTTTAATCAATACCATGTCTCACTTACAATGTGATGTTGATCTTAAGTTTTATTTGACTCTGGGCATAGAAAGGGGGGAAAACCCAACCTCATTAAACTTTTAAAAAGACACACACCAAAGACCTTTTTTATTTGATTCTGCCTCCAGACCTGGTTTCTTCAGAGCTGTATAAAACAAAGATCAAAATGTCTTAGGCCTGAATACCTAGTACTCTAGTAGTTTGAAGCGTTCTGAAATCGTAAGTCACTGATAAGTTACATACCTAAGGCCACCAGGATGGAGCAGACGCTCCCACAGGCACCCACCGTGGACGTAGATTGATTTTGTCACCCTCTATTTGCTTACTCAGTCCACTGAGTCAGTTACTCAGCACCAACCAAGTGCCTACCACGGTGCTGCGTACTGAGAGGGGCTGGCAACAGCCTGCCCTCCCAGATACAAAAATGGAAATGACACACCATGTAGTGAGTGTGAAGTCAGGCTCTTAGGCACTCGGGTGGCTAAGGTCTTAACAAACCTCAAGGTAATTGTCATACTCAGTGCATCCTACCTTCCACTTTACAGATGGAATAAGCTGGAAAAGCCAAACAAAATAAAATGGTTCTTTAAGAGATTTGTTTTCAGGGATGTGGAGACAAGTGAAATTCTTGAAAAGTAAAATCTAAAGGAGAATAAAGGAAGATAATGATCCAGAATTGGTCCTTTCCAAAATCACTAGTTAGGGGTGTGGAGAAAGAGGTTATAGAGGTGTGTGGGCATTTATAACTACATTCGTGTGTCTTTTTACCACTTTGGTCCACTTTTCTTGTGCTGCGTAAGCCTCACACGTGCCCTATGAAGCAAAGCATTGAATCACCATTCGATGGTTGGGATAAGCTTAGCGAGTTTGACAAATTCAAGTCCCCAGACCTGGAAGAATTAGAACTGTGATTCCAGCTGAGGTCCACTACCCCAGACCATCTGCCACCTGCTGATCGTTCCCTAATCGGGAGGCTGATTTCTCAGTAAGAGCCAACCTACTATGGCCTCAGCATCAGAACTGAGAAGAACTAGGAAAGTAAAGGTTATAGCAAAATAATCACATTAGAGTCCCAAAGAAATTAAATTACTCTGTCATCTCACTACTGAGATGATTAAGGAGAAATAAAAGAGGACTAGATAAATATGAGGCAAAACTTTTGCTTCACGTTGATGTTTGAAAGAATCTGTAGTTCTATCTAGCAAATTTGAAATGTACAAAGACTCCACTTACCCTTCTTGTGAAACACAGAAGGACATGATTCTCCCCATTTGCAAGCACAGAGCAATTAGGCATGTTGTCTGAAAACAGCCCACCAAACCCTCTGATCGTGAATTATTTCCTGGGTACAAGGGAGACATGTACTTACGGGCATCTTAACTTGCAGCCCAGGACCAGAATCCTGGTCTTGTGACTCTTTCTGCAATTCCTCATTATGCCCCCCAACAGCACAAAAATATCATGAAGTGCTACTGAGACATTTGTGATGAGGGCACTTTGAAAGCAAGGGCTATTCAAATGTAGAGGAGCCTTCAGGAGAGCAAAGTGGGATTGAGGCCAAATGCTTTACCTCACCTGCCTGTTGAAGTTACATTAATGATTTTAAAGCAGAAATCCTAAACAATGAGATCATGGCATGCATGTCATCTTGGTGTTCCATCAGGATGAAATTCGCCTAAGGAATTTAAATTCCATTTGCCTAAGGAATGCAAATTACAAAAAACCTCAAAGAGCCTGTGGCAGGAGAAGAGCAGGTAGGTCTGTGCAGTCGTGGTGATTTGGGCCCATTCTCGAGGGGATGATCAGTCCTTTGCAGGTAGGGAATTTGCTAAATCATGTTGGCAGGTGTAGCCCAGAGTAATTACCCTTGCTGTGTATACACAGTTCCCATTAGAGCAGCCAGTTTCCCTGTCTGGACCCAAGGCTGTGTGGACACCTATAGTATAAACACTTCTTTGCAAAGATTTTTCATCTCATCGGACTTTAAAAAAAGGGGGAAGGGGTTCCCAGGGCTAGAAATATTGCTACTCATTGGGGATCCTCATTTTCTTCCTTCCTTTTTCCTATTAAGATACAAAGCATTGTGGAGAGGAAAAAGCCTTACTCTATGACTCTGACAACAGCTGTCACCAACCATAATGAGCGAATGTTCCCATAAAAAAGTCTGATTCCCAAGGTGATTGTTTCAAAAAGTTTTGTAGATTACAGGTTTTTTAAAACTACAAATGTATTTGGCTCATGTCAGAATGGACTTGTTGAGGTACCATTTATTAAGCATTATAATGATGTATGCTTTACATACAGTCAATATCTCATTTAAATTTTAGTCCTTTGGAGGAGAACTTATTAGCCCCATTTTATAGGTGAAAGGGTTTAAAGAGGTAGGAAAGTTTAAAGAAATGAAGTAGCTATATAATATTTGCAAAGGGACTCAAGGAATTCTAGAGCAGCACTTACAAATTCTGCCATAATGGAAATATTCCATACCTGCCTTGTCTAATGTAGCCACTAGCACATGTGGCTGTTGAGCACTTGAAATATGGCTAGTGTGACTGAAACACTGAATTCTTAATTTTAGTTAATTTTTGTTCATTTAAATTTAAATAGCTACGTGTGGCTAGTGGCTACTGTGTTGAATGGTGCAAATGTTATTTCAAAGACATAAGAATATTTCCAATCAATCCGATCCCTATCTCTCTCTTTTGCCTACAATAATCCTCTATAGAAAAAAAAAAAGAAAGAAAGAAAGAACAGAAATATGCTAAATATTTGTAAAAAGTCTAACTGGCCACATGTCAGGTCAGGTAACACCCATTCAACATTTCACGAGTTACAAGACTAAAACTGCATGTCCCGCAGCCTGTGGACAGCTTCTGTGTTTCTCGAGCTTGAGCTGAATGACCTCTTTTCTTTGCTGATAGAGAATCTGTACATCTCCAAAAACTAATGATGTAGCTGATCTGAAAGAATGTTTACTAATTATCGCTGCAAGCAATCAAACCTTCACAGTCTTTGCTCTTCCAACAACCACATTTGTGGCCTGGGCCCATTGGCTCGGTTCCCTTGTCTCTGGTATTGAGGTTTATTTTTCATGTTGGTGAGACTGGCTACTCAGCAGCTGTCAGAGCCCAGGGTCTCCAGTGAGGTGAGTTCTTGACCCAAGTTTGATAACCATGAGATGTCTGTGGCCAAAAGTCAGCAGCAACAATTCTAAGACAAAGACACATCTTCCACAGTGGACCCTACCCCTGTCCTTCCAAAGGACTCTTCATTACAAAGGTCTTCCTGTACAGACCTAATGGTCACTCAGTAGGGAGACAGGTGAAGGAGACGGCCACAGAGCGGTAGTTAGAGAAAACATATTTGGGCAAAACATTCTTCGGTTCATGGGCACATATGCACAGATTTGAAAGCAAAGGAAATTTGCCAATGGAGTGGTAAATATAGAAGATGCTGGG